ATATATATATATATATATATATATGTTGGTAACATTTTAATAAATATTCGTTATGCCTATGTATCCGACAATATATATCTCATATTACATCCTTATGTCATTTAGGATGCATGGTGATCTCTTCTATAAGTTAAGTGATTTTTCTCATCTTAAAAATTTTATTTATTGACTTTGCATTGTAACATTTTAAGAGAAAACAAATTTGTATGATAAGTAATTTTAAATAACATGCTAAAGAAAAGAAAATATCTTTTTATATATATAATAATATCATAAAAGTGGAAGAAGCATCCGACTATGCAAGCTAATTTGATTATTAAAGTTTCTTAACTAAAATTTGATAGTTAAAGTGTTAAAAAAAAATAAAGGACGTGTTTAGCTAATAAGGCCTCCAGTTATGACGTTTGGTATTAATTTGAGAGTATCAATTGAAAAGCTTATTATTAGCCTATATGAGCATGTTAGTCGACATTATTAATCAATAGCTGAATTAAGCAACCATGAAAGCTAGCAAGAAGTCTCAAGTAAAGTGTTACCTAATTAAGATACCTATAATTAGGTGGTAAACAGAAGTTGCAGTTGTGAATTGAATAGGATATATTTTTGGAATGAGAAAAAAGTGTCTCAAGGTTACCATTTTGAGCTCAAAACACACTCAATTAATTGTTGTAAAAAAAAAAAAAAAAAAGGAATTTTAACTGCCAACTTCCTCTTTTTGATTATCTGAAAAATAAATAATTAACTAGAACCATCTAAATTTTAAGGATAAGCGATCAGAATTTAAATCTATTATTAATTATAAAGATTGTAGATGATCTGGCACATAGAGAGAAATTAAAGATAAGAATGAAAGAACATTTCCATAAATATATGATTACACGAATCAGCTAAAAACACACAAAATAATTTTTTAAAAAAAAAAAAAAAAAAAGGAATTTTAACTGCCAACTTCCTCTTTTTGATTATCTGAAAAATAAATAATTAACTAGAACCATCTAAATTTTAAGGATAAGCGATCAGAATTTAAATCTATTATTAATTATAAAGATTGTAGATGATCTGGCACATAGAGAGAAATTAAAGATAAGAATGAAAGAACATTTCCATAAATATATGATTACACGAATCAGCTAAAATCTCAATTGTCGAACATAATTTTGATCATACTGGACTAACATGGCAGTTTTCCACAAGTGTCTTGTAGGTTTAAGACATGCATGGGGCAAGGCAACTTTAGTGGATTTAACTACTTAATAGGTTTATAAATATCAAGCGTGTACAATAACTCTATAATCACTCTCAAACACTCTAGACAAATAAATCAAAATCAAATTCTCATTTATTTCTTTCATTATTGCCGTCACATGTCACTCATTTATACCTTGTTAAATTATTTTAGTTACATTGTTCTGTTCAAAGGCTTTTCTTGTATTTTTTTTTATATTATTTCTTGTGTTAATTATTGATGATTAAGTGGGCATATATATATCGTCTGGTTGTGATGCCCCACTGTTGCAACCTTCAGTGGGTGCATTCTGGCTACCCTAATTAATACCATATATTGCCCACCTGGAATGCTTTGATCTGTTGCTAGACAAGTAGACATGAATGGATCAAAGCTTTAATATCTTTTCCATCACAAATTTATATTATATTTATATATTTATATGGAGAATATTATCTTAGCACAATTATACGAATCTTATCTTTCATCACATAATTCATGATTGATTGGCCTAATACAGTAGCAGAAAAGCAAAAGAACCCCACCTCGTATTAATTAGTGTACAACGCATTTGCCTATATAAAGGTCTCTTCTTCATCTTTCAAAGCCATCCTAGCCTGCATCTTCTATTGCCTTAATTTTTTTTCTAGTTCTCTCTCTTTGACCATTATTTTCACAAACCAAAGAAAAAAGGGTTACTCCTTTTTTAAAATATTGTAACATGTCTTCCTCAGAGGGTGTGTTTGAATTGGGAATTGAGTTCTCAGAGGAAGCCGATTAGAGACATAGGGACGGCTCCCACGGGCATATCTTGGAAAGACATGAAAGATCCTTGGTAGAAATCTTTCGACATGTCAAACTCAAAGCCCTCTGTGAAATGGCCAAAATGTTGCGCTTGCCGAAGGGCATGACGAAACCCAGCTTCATGTTGGGCAACGATACATTCCTTGGCTTGCTCTTTCACTTGTTCCAGTTCGGCCTTGGCTTCCTCCGCTCGACGCTTCTCTTCGTTTACGGCTTTTTGCATGTCCAGCCGAAGAGTATCATTGTTGCGACGTTGTACATCTAGTTCGGCCGCAAGTTGTCGTTTTCTTGCTAACGCTTCCTCGGCAGTCGCCACAGCCTCTGCTATCGCCTTATCGGCATCCTCAACCCCTTGCCTTAATTGCACCAGCTCGCCGATAGGCTCCATGGCGAGGTGGTGCGCGAGTGGTAGGGACCGAGACTGCACCTCGCAGAAATACTTCCATTTGGCCACAACATCGAACTGGCCTAGGAATTCACGTCCATGATCAGAAATGGCATTTGGCCGAACCAGTGACTTGGCGGTGACCTCTTCACTCAGAAAGGCCCTGGACATTATCATAGGGGGCACACATATAATTGTCTCGCCCGGGGAAGACGCGGAGTGTTTGGACTTCTTGGTTTTCTCTGGCCTCTCCTTGTTACCTTTTCGTTTCGGCCCCTCATGAGCAACCTCTTTACCCTTCTTCACCTTTCGGCGCTTTCGATCTGGAGTGGGTGGGGTTCGGTCATCTTGTATTGGATGAGGCGTTTGGGCAAGTGTCGAGCTGCCCACAGCCCCCGAAGCCTTGGCCTGTTGCATCCGGCCGGCCAACAGGTTGCGGATATTGAACTCATCGGCACCGCTTGACACCATGATTCCTGCACAAATAACCAAGTGAACATCAATATGAATTTAGCCAAAGGCCGAAACGGGAAAATCACGTACCTATCAAGTCGTTCTCCCATTGGGGAGATACAACCACGTTTATTAATGACTTCGTCGGCAAGCGCTGAGGTTTTTGAAGTAAAAATCGCAAATCCCGTTGCTCTTCAGCTGTGAGAAGCTCATCCGGCACTACATCATACGGCCGAGGGGCACGTGTCCAATACAACGGAAAGAAGCTCCGGTCATCGGCCCCGAAGAAGAAACGCCTCCCGTTCAGACAGACAGTCACTCGGAAAAATCCAGCTTTAAAATTCTTGTAAGACGAAGTGAAACTATCCAAGAGCTGCCGAGTCCCCACTCGGCTAAGAGACAACCATTTGGCCAAATCTGAAGGACGGGACGAGTAAAAATAGAGAAAAAGTAAAGGCGAAGGCTTGATGTTAACACATCGGCACAGGTGCTTGAAACCTTGAAGTTGAGCCCAGCTGTTCGGGTGTAGCTGAGTCGGCGCCACATTCAAAACCTTAAGCACCCCCATGATAAACTCATCAAACGGTAATTTAACCTTTAGATCTCGCAAAATGCAGTCGTACATATAGAACGATGCCATCTTTTCGGCCTGCTTGTCCAAGCATACCACGTCCGGATTGGGAAAGGCGTTGTTTCGGCACGCACGAATTCCGATCGGATACAGCTCCTCTTTAGCGTTGAAGTTCAGACACTTAGTGTAATCCAACAAATTTGTGATCATGGTAGTATCTCGGTATCGGGAATAATATGAGGTCACTTCTCCGTTTACCCATTCGTACCCCGGTAATTTGGACGGGCCATATCTTTGCCGATTCGAGACACGTTTCACTCTGGTCGGCACCTCTTCGCTCCCGCTAGTTGAAGCCTCTTCGGATGTACTCACATTTTCACTAGACCTGTCCCCGTTCGGCAATGGTATGTCCCTGTGCACCGGCCTCGAAGCCCTAGACGACGACCCCTCGGATGATGATGACCGAGCCACACTAGCCGAAGAGCTCTCGGAAGAAGAAGCCATTCAATCAAACTTACCAAAAATCTGAATGTGAAACGGTCACTCGGCGCGCTCTGATGGATCTTTGATATCGCTCGGATGACACTATTCGGTTGAGAATGATACGCATGAGAGGCCCTACCACGCATCGCTATATATAGCAAACGAAAAAGGGCGGATAAATTCAAAATTTTGAAAAATGTAACGGCCTGATTTTCAAGATCCAACGCTGGAGATCGCCCCAACCTTTCAACTTCCCGCCTAACCGCAACTCATTTCTATACCCTTGTAAAAGGTACCCTTTCTACAAGGCTAGGGGGCAAGTGTACTAGTAAGCCCATTCGGCCACCTGGTTTGGCCGTTCGGCCACCTGTTGGCCGACACCCAATCGGCACCTGAATGGCCGAACCAGGTGGTCGATCGCCATTCGGTCGCTAAATGATCCATAGGCCCAGATTCCTATTAGAAAGAATCAAGGATTAGCCCATAATCAAGGATTAAGAGCTAATCACACTAGTAAGCCGATTAGAGACATATTACCTAATATGGTAATCCTGTTGCAGGGCCCATGGGAATCCGGGCCCATAAATGTCAGTATAAATAGCACAGGTCACAAGGTAACGTCACTGTTCATTAATTACTATCGATATTTGTGCTTTGTCCTGACTTGAGCGTCGGAGTGCCTTTTGCAGGTACCTCCCCCTCACCGGAATATTCGATTGGAGCTCTCGTTCGGCCCTCAGAATACGAGAAGATTACTAGTGTGCCCTTCAGACAGGTACATAATCAATAATAGTGACACGTATTTATAACATAGTAATGAAGATTCGTAATTTGAATGGAGCATGCAGCAATGGCATATGAAGCTGGAAATTATGAGATTGATGATTTCCAACAGTGTTATGGAGTTTTCTTGGAGCAACAATATAGAGAGAATTATTTGGCACAAGGGCCAAGTGATGCACTATTCTGAAATTAATTGATATATGTGTTAGTATTATTATACAAGGAAACAGTTGATAACATTGATTTAGTTTGTCAGTTGTCACCTTAACTTGTGAAGGAGTTCTTATATAAGAACATGTTATTGCCCAACCTTTTAATTTTATCCTTTGTTTACTTTTTCTCCCATGTAATTATATACCTAGCTGGAAATTAATTAAAATCACTTCCTCAACCTTATTTGCTTATTATAAGATGCTCGTATTGATTTCCGCAATAGTATTGTTTCTTTTTACGATATATTTTAAAAAAAAAAATATATTATATAATTACGAAATAACTACTCATTTCATCGATGATTAGTGTACAAAATGTATTTCGTGTCTTGTGAATTATTTTTATAAATAATAAAAATTATATAATAGTGGATAATTATTTAAAATATAGGAGTACTATTTATGAAGTAAGAGAAGTTTAGGAAGTGAAATATGTGTGAATGAATTAAAAAGAATTATAAAAAGATAAAATAGTCTAAAAAAATATGTATTCAAAATAAAAATTATCACCTTTATTATTGTTACAATTTAATATTCGTTGAAGAATCTAATCATTATTTTTAGCAAAGTCTTTCTTTTTACCTGTGTTCTTTTTTTCATCCATAAAATCAAAACTAATACATTATTTAAAGAAATTGGATTCACTATAATTCAAATCAACAATTTGTTTTTTTTTTACAATATCTTTTTACTTTCATTAACAAGGAATATCCTCGTCAAACACAGGACTAATATCAATTAGAGTTTGACAAGCATTAAATAGGTGGATATTTTCTTTAATTTAAATTTGTTATTAAGAATTAGAATTCAAATTTCAGTCATTTTTCTTATTTTGCACTAATGTTCTAAAATTTTACCTTAAACTAATCTGACTTGACCGGGAGACAAGTAAAATATAATCAAGAATTGTGTTTTATTAAAAATTGAATTCAAATATTGTTCGAGCGATTCAACTTTGGATTTAACCATTTATGTCCAGTTCTTGATTTTTGGTCATTTGTTTATAAATAACTGAATTTATAAACTTTTACAAATTACAAAAAAAAATCCCTATTTTTAGTTAATTTTTTATGAATTATATTACTATTTTATTTTTAGTTTCCTTAATTAAAATTATAATTTGGTTCTGTATGAGAAAATAGAATTAACTCAAACTAATTAATTTTACAACCGAGCATTTAAGGGGAAAAAATATAAAGTACTTTAATTTGCAATTCATATATTTCTCTTTACAATATTTTTTTATAATTCAGCTGTCAAAAAAATATTTTTTATTATTCATTGTTCCCTTATATCTTAATCCATCAACATTTACCATGTATTTTTTTATTTCTTCACTGTCTCTCTCTTATATATAAAGAAAAGTTATATATATTTGAAGTAGAGATGTAATTTCTCGTATAATTTATTATGAACAAAAATTGAATACAAGTGGAAATACAAGTATTTTGAAGAAAAGCAAAGCAAATCCATAGGTTGCACTTAAGCAAGCTGACTCAGAAATGCACCTTTTAAATTATTGTTTTAGGACTTGAAAAGACCGATGACTTAGATAAATTTGATGGGGAATCTTCTTTTTCTTTTCATGATGACGAAGAAAATCTTTTTGAAAGTAATATAATTGATGGATTTATACCTACAGGTGAAATCTTCCATGATTTAGGGAATCTATGTAGATTATCTTAATTATTTGAATAATATAATAATTAAAAATTAAAATGTTATTTTTATTTTTATATGAATATTATTAATTTTTTTTATCCTACATTTTTTTTGTCGTATTTTCTTTCGACTAGTAAAATAAAACTTTTAAAATTAATTATTTTTGACATTTAAAATTAATTTTTAACCAATTTTAAAAAAGCCGATTTTAAAAAATTAGATTTTTAAAATCCGTTATTAGTTGATCTTAAAAGTATACTTTTACGATCGGTTATAAGGATAGCCGATCTTAAAAGTCTTATTTTTAAAAATCGGTTATTAAATAACCGATCGATCTTAAAAGTCTTGATGTTTAAACAAAACATTTTAAAATCGGTTATGTATAATCAATCTTAAAAATTTAACTTTTAAATGATCTTAAACAATCCAATCTTTGTTGTACCTTTTTTTTTTCTAATTAACTTTCATATAGTCCTATTGCATTACCTCCTCTTTTGATCTCTACACTACATTGCCTTCTCCTCCAACCTTCACACTACCTCTACACTACGTTGTCTCCTCCTCCAACCTTCATGGTGCAACGCCTCTAGATATTTGTGAATGTCCAAGGGTCAAACAACACCTTATATTGATGTTTTGTTTATGGTGGGGAGAAGGGGGTTGTTGATGGTGTCGGTAGTGAGGTCAAGGTAGAGAACGTCGATAGTGAAGTCGAGGAAGAGGATGACAATGAAAATAGTAGGTTGAGGATAAGGATGACAATGTTGATAATCATATCAAGGAGGAGAATGGCAATGCTAGTGTGAGGTAGAGGAAGAGAATGATGGTAAAGACAATGGTAAGGCCATTAATGAGGAAGGCTAGATTACAAAGAGTTTTTTTCAGTAATTTCAAATAATTTACATAAAAATAAAAATAAAAAAGTTATTGTTTACTAGTGAACAATATGTTAAACTTGTGCATCATAGCAATTAACTTATACTTGAATAATTTTACCTCAAAACATGCTAGTATAATTGATAATAAATGTTACAAAGAACATATATATATAAGAAGAAACATTAATGTGTCAAGGACTTTCTATGTTGAGTGTTTTGGACATTTTATGTCAATCCTACACTCTTTATAGATCTCAACAACATAGAATGTCCATATATTCTATAACAGGTCAACACATGACACAAAAAATTCACTTTCTATAATAGATGGTCAATGCTTGTCATAATATAAGTATTAAATGTGATGTTTTGATCACATTAACACACACATTCTATGATAGTGTGACTATACTCGTCATAAAAAGTGGACTTTCTTTAGCAAGTCTGTCTTACCCATCATAGAATGTGACACACCCACCATTAATTTACTTAAAGATTTAACTATGCAAAATATCATTTGATTGGTGAAGTCTATTAAGTAAAAATTGAAAATTTCAAGGAAGATTTGATAAACAATCAAAAGAAAAATAATGCATGTGAACAACAATATTCAAACTAATTAAAGATATGTGTTTTGAGATTATTTTTTACAATATTTTTTATTTTCAACAATGGTATTTATAGAGAAAAAAATCATGTATAATTGATTTCTTAAAATTTTAGTGAAGACTATAAAAAGTATTTGTATAACATCATCTTACTAATTTTAATTTTATAAATAAAGAAATTAATGTGGGTTGACATAAATGGTTAAGGTTCTAAATTGAACTCTCACCTTCTCCCATGGGTGAAAGTTTGAATTCTCTTGACGTCACTTTTTTGCTTGGTAGGCAACCCTCCCAAAAGAGATCTCTTAATGTCTAGAGGCTAGTTGAGTAACTGCAACTAGGTGAAGCTACTTACGGTTTAAGCTTGTGCAGTAATTCTCTAGGTGGGCTTGTGTTGACAGTCTCAACATGTCATTAATATCTTGTCCAATATTACTTATAGTGTCTTTCCATTTTAACATTTCTTTTTTATTTTTTGGTACATAAAAGTTTAAATTAAGATAAGATATGCTTCCATGTCAACTTCATGTAAAAAAAAAAAAAAACTTTGTAAATTAAGCAAATATTAATTTAAGTTAATTTTTAAAACATTAAATACATTTAATTATGTGAATTTACTAGTACAAAAAGAGTAATTTACATTGGTTATTTTAAGTTTTTTACGTCAAAAAAAGGTCTGATGTAAACGCGGAGACGTAAATTTATGTCGGTTGTGATAGCCGACGTAAATTTACGTCGGACATTCACAAGAGCCGACGTAAAAAAGTTGTAAACAAAAAAAATATAACGTGTGCAAGCAGAACGAGTCATTCTCCAAGCAGAACGGGCCGTTCTCCAAGCAAAACGACCCGTACTGCTTAGAAAACGCCCCGTTTTGCTTGGAGAATGGCCTGTTCTGCTTGGAGAATAGGCCGTTCTGCTTGGAGATTTACTCAAACGTGAAGAATTTTCTACTTATTATTAACTATATTAACAAACGATGATCCACCCAAACAAGAAGAGGATAATATTAACTAATATATTAATAGATCAATACATACATTTATTTTCAACATATATTAGCTAATATATTAAGAAAGGATTTTCCAAACTAACCTCAAACGCGAGCCCAATGCAATCGGTCAAAAACTCAAGAACCACCCAAACGCGCGTACACTCAGATGCAATACACTCAAACGAAATCTTAACTTAGAAGACTCGAATTACACATACACTCAAAGCTCTCTTGTTTAAATATTGATGCGCGCGCGAAGAAATTTGATTTTGTAGATATTTTACATCGGACCTCGTAAGGCCGACGTAAATTGGAAAATCTACGTCGGACACAAATTATATCCGACGTAAATTTTTTTTTATGTCAGCCCCTATGAAGTCCGACATAAAAAATTTGATTATAATTAAAAAATGTCACCGTATTTTTTTAACGTCAAATTTTTCTCTATCCAACAAAAATACAGTGATGTAAATTACTTTTTTTACTAGTGATTATTAACAAATAGGGGTGATGTTTTAATATAAGACTCCAACCGCTACCATCGAACGATAATTTGAATCCTCTCTCACATTTAATTCCCCAATAAATTTATAACAAAAAGTTTATAACAAGATTGACTTTTTTGAAAGATCATTATAAGAAAAACTTAAATTAAGTCAATTACTTATAGTGGATATAGACATCGACACACTAGATAGTATTACTAGTCAACATTAAATTGTCACTAAATGTGTTTTTATCATTTTTTTTATATTTTCTTTTAAGTTTTTCTTTTTGCATCAGCCATGATCGACACAACTAATGTTTAAAACAAGAGAGAAGAATAAATACAAAAAAGAATTAATAAATCATCAACCTATATTGACACTAAATAATAATTTTGAAAATTAAATATATTATATAATTAAATCCTACCAAGCTAATGCTAATAAGTGTTAGAACTAGCTTCGACGTTGTCGGTAATAATGTTTCACGTGAGTTTGAAAATAAATTATTTTTCGTGCCTCCTTCTTCTCTTTAAATATTTTAAATATATTTTATACTACTAATATTTAAGAAAATGTTAGTCAACCTAGCAACCACTAAATAATATATTTTTGAAAAATAAATATATTATATTACTAAAGTCGTTTAAGTTAATAAGTATTGGGATTAAGGTTGACATGACCGACACTAATGTTTCATCATAACGCAAAAACAAAATGATATTCTCACGTATTTCTTCTTCTCAAATATATATTTCAAATATCTTATGCTACCAATATTAAAAAAAAATGTTAGCATAGACCTAACTTAATAAGATTCACTCTACGCTTAGCATGGAGAGATCAAAGATCAAATGTTGCTCTATGGTGCTATCTCGCTTATGTGCCAAAAAGTATAGTGAGCAAGAGTTGCTATTTGAGGACTCATACACTTACGATGAATTGCTTTATGCTCAAAGCATTAATGCTCACTATTATTCCCTCACTAATTATCTAGAGCATGGGCTCTCTTAGTGTACTTGTCAACCTCACAAAGTGCTCTTTGTGATTTTTGTTAAAAGAGTGTGATCTCACTTGTGATCTACAAAATATGGTCCTACGCTTATCATGAGGACTTTCACTAGTGCCAAAACATGGTGTTCTTAGTGGCTATTGTATACTTAGTGAGAGCCTAGTCTTGCTTAGCGCTAGAGGACCCAAAATACTCTACCTTCTCATAATCTCACACTTAACTCAAATTCATGATTCTTCACAACATGGAGTTATTTAAGAAAAAAAAACCCCAAGCTTACACTCTAAAATTAAATCCAATTACCTCATGTTTCAATATAGCTATAACCATATATTTAGTTTAATATTTACATGTATACCGCATAAAAAAAATTAACATCAAAAACCACAATCATATACAATTCAATTTCAAAACCTAATTTCTCAAGAATCTTAAACACAAAAAATCATAAACAAAAAAATCAACCAAATAAACAAGTAATTTAATCAATCAAGATAGATAAATATATAGAGTGCTTTACGATGTTCATAACTCATCCAAAAGAATTCATATAAAAAAAATTCATATTTTACACATAACTATGAAATTGAGAGTCAATCCTACTACTCATAATTCATTAGCAAACTCATAAATGAGATAATTTCTCCCTTACTTTAAAAGACAATTCCCCAAAAGCAAGGGCGCAATAGAGTTTTTGCTCATGAGAGATCAAGCTCTATCATTCGTAATTCTAACAGCACACAAGAGTTTCCAAGAAGTAAAGCAAAAAAATGAATTTTTGAAAAAGACCATATCTTAAAAACTTTAATTAATGATTCTAAGGATGAGTTATAGGTTAATAGAAATAGAGGTCCAAAATCTTATTTTGAGCATAAGTCATTAGCTCATTAAAGTTTTAAAGGCCTTTTTATATATTTTTTCAGACTATATATTAATTCCAAGTTTATAATTATTTAATTAAAAATTGTACAACAACATATTTAATAAATATTAATAACATATATAATTTTCAAATAAAAATTAGAATTTTTACATTTTTAGTTTCTCAAAATTGTGTGATTTTAATTACTTAAGTAACCCAATTAGCGTAAAATGAATACTAAAAAAAACTAAATCTTCACTATTACAGTACCCAAAATCTAGAAATGCAAGTCTTAAAAAATAATCTCTTATTACAATATAATATTACTCATCCAAAAATACAGACACACACAGTTCAGATTATAAGCTAATCTTGGCCATTATTCTGATTGCATAAATGTATAATGACGCCAGAGCACTGAGCAAAAATAAATGTGCAAAGCATCGAACCTGTTGCTACTACTTGCTAGAATATTATATATATTGAGGAAAAGATCAGTGGCATAATTATAGTAGCAACACGATCATGATCATGTTTCTTGATAGTTGATACAATGACTTTTGACCAATATATATTCTGGTGGCATGTAGAGTCATGCACCCTTTTACAATAAAGCATGGAACAAGATACTCTGGCTTCAAACCATGGAGTTCAAAGATTAATTAGCATTATTGGTTGTCAACACTCAATTCAATAACATAAAATATATGCTTAACTCCCCAATGATGTAGAAAGGATATGCACATCACATGGAAGTGGGTTCATTCACCATCCATTATTTTAAAGTGATATATTCTAGGGCATCTAATCTAAATCTTAATTAAACCCCACAAAAATGAAGTAGTGGCAACATGTGCATCAAAATGAGAGTTGGATTGTCACAAACAATGGTATATCATCAAGCTCTGTTAGTTTAATTGGGTCCACTTGCTTTCATGCCTTAACTATTCATTGGAGGCATATCTTTTCAAAATCCTACATGCACAAATGTAAAAGTTAGCCAAAATCTTAGAGAGCCCCACAAACCAGATTTTAAGTACCTTCAAAAAAATAGGATGATATGGAGATTTTTTTTTTCTACCTGTTTTCTAGAGATTTGACGTTATCGATATAAGTGGTACCAATTTTTTCTGCATCCGAACCTTATCTAAAATTAATGAATTTAAAGTGGGGAAAAAGATAATTCCCATGTATGTATGGTGTTTTTATAAAATAAAAAAATAAAAAAATAAAATACATGCATGTTTTCGATTTATAATATTGTTATTAATGATGGAGGGATAAATACAAAAAATAATATACAATTTTTATTGAACATGTAGTATTACTTTTTTAAGTTATTATCTTATTTTAATCCAACAATTACAATTCTCTAACTATATTAACGGATAAAGTGTAAACTTGGAAGCTATTCAATTATTATTTACATAGAAAAGGCTTTGTTGAAAGAATAAAAAAAGTCCATTTATATGATTTCTACATCTCATAAAAAATTAATATTCAACTATTATTTTTAAGAAATATTTTAATAAAAAAATAAAATAAAAAATAAAAGACTTCCCTTGGCATAAACAATATATTCATTCATTAAAACATCTTAATTCATTGTTGTTTTAGTAGAGAATGAGAAGAAAGGAAAGGATAAAAAAGAAGTAGAAGATAATGAGTTGTAATTTTAGATTGTTTGATTATAAAAAATATAGGGTAAAGAGAAAAGTTAGTGTGGGACCATCAAAATATAAAATATCTTCTTACATGAGAAGAAAATTGACAAAATGGAAAGAGTTTTGGCCAAAATTACATAAGTAGTCTTATATAATTATATGATTTGTGTATTATGAAAATAAAATTTTTGAAGAAAAAATTGGCAAAAATTATATTTTTAATAAATATTCAAATTTAAAAATATTTCTTTATTTTTGTATGATAATATTTTTTTTGTCTTTAAAAAACATATATACTCATATTAAAAGTGAATATATCTTTAAGAAAAATTGTATTTTAATTTCTTTCTCTTCACTTTTCTATATATCTCACTGAGCAAAGGAAAATAATTTTTTTTTCTTCAACTTCTCTCCTACTTATTTTAATTCAAACATTTTAAATGTCTGTTCATTTCTTATTCATTCTCTCTTCTTTCTGCTTCTTTGAATCTTTGTATCCCACTTGTTTCTTCGTTATTTCTCTGTTTACCCAAAACAATGCATAAGTCATAAGTGACTTTCACAGTTCATGGTAAATGCATAACGGTCAAATAAAGTATTGGAAATATCTAATTGAGAGGGTGAAGACAGAGAGTGACCACTCTCCAAATTGAAGGTTCTAATTTATAATATATATATATATAGGAATATATTAATTTATTTTTATCTATATTTTATAATTAAACTATGATATTTTAAATGGGTTGTCAAAACACGTTATTTGCTATTGTTTTTATGGAGTGAAGTTGAACACAAAAACTCACAAGCCACTGCATTTCTAAAGGAAAATCATAAATCCATTTAATGTGTGGTTTAGATACTAATTAATCTTCTCAAATGAGAAAAAAAACATAAACTCACCATAATTATAATCATAACGTATACATCTCCTCTTCTATTCCAATTACCCCTTTTCTCCTTTTTTTTCTTTTCGTGATTCTTATCATTTTGGAACCTTGATGCACTATCGCTGGTGTCTAGTAAAGCTTCCCATTCCTATTCAACGTACGATAATATTCTTATCTAATAACACTTTTCATAATGTCTGTTTTTTTTATAATCCATTCCTTTATATTTTTTTCCCATCATTGGTTCAATATTTTTTGTTCATCCATTTCCTTATTAATTAAGGAGGATGTGAATCGTGAGAAGCAATTATTAAAAATAGCATTATTCCATCTTTTTTATAGTGGTTCTTTCTGCCCTAACAGACACAAACTATTCCAAGCTTTATCGTACTAGTCAATAATCACTATACACAAACTATTCCCTACTTTATTGCAACTCGACGTTTCATCCACTGAAAGCTTTGTCTTTTCATGTCTCCTTGTCTAACCCTAAAAATTGAGGTTTTGGGGTCAGATTCTATGATTTCCACGAAATCTTGCTTACTTCAAGCCGTCCTTGTTGCCAGAGCACACGAGCAATATTATATTTAGACATGGACACATTTCCTTTATTTATTGCTATAACTTTTTTTATAATTTCTATGTGCCATGTTGACATGCAACATGATCCATCAATGTAACATAGTTTTCTAGTTTTCTAGTGTGCATATGTGCACATGACTGTCTGGCTCATGATGGATGTAGTGTCCCCTTCTTGAGGTGACGTGGCACCCTTATGATATGTGTGCCTATATAAAGCCCTAATTACCTCATAGAAGAACACATTCATCTCAAGCTTGTTCTCTCTCATTACATATTAATTCTATATTCTATCTCTCCATTATTGTTCACCCTTGTGCTAAATTGAACAACAAAAAAAATGGGTTCTCAAGTTTGTGAAACTTTAGCTTACATCAACGGTGATGAAGGGGTGAGAGGGATGGAAGCCTTGCAAATCAACGGTGCTCTTTTGATGTCATTGATGGAAGAATCATCACCAAGTGATAATCATGATGAGAGTGATGATGATCGATTGGATAGCCTGATTAGGTCTTTTGAGGCTGAAATAAGCGGAAGCAATAAGATGGGGGGTGATCATGATCATGATTTGGCATCCAAAGGGTCGGAATTTGTGAGCAAAATGGAAGAGTGTGCAAATCAAACATGGAACATCATGGGAGACGTTGATGGAGTGGAATATTGGGGTTCATCATCAAGTGAATTTGGGGTGGAATGGGTGGATATGGATTTGGTGCCATTAGAAGATAGAAGTAATTGGTGTGTTGACCCTTGTGGAGATGAGTATGCCATGGCAAATAACTTCAAAGTTTATGATGGGTTTGCCTTGGGAGAACATGGATACAACTCCTTGTGGCAAGACATGGCATGCAATTGATGATGCCTTGTTAATTAGTTTGTGATGTTATTCACGTAAATTCATGTTGTAATTCTCAAACTGTTTTTATAAAATAAAATAAAAATGGAATGAGATTATGAGTAACAGAAAGTTCTTTGCCATGTCGAATCGATCTTCACTAGACAATAACAAGCAAAGCAAAGGAAGAAAAAAAAATATACATGAAAACAAACACTCTCTTTTGATATTTTTTTTTTCATTTTTGTTTTAATATATATGGTCCTCCTCTTTCTTCTCGCTCTACAACTAGATACATCTCATTTTAGATGTATGTTAGAAGATAGAAAATAAAGAAAGAAAAAAAAATACAATAGCATGACGTACACACCAAATACTAGTAAAAAAAACGACTTGTTAAATTGGTTATTTTAGAATTTTTAATATCGATTATTTGATCAATTTTTTTTTATAAAAATATCTATTTTATAAGTCTAAACTTAAAAAATTAAGTGATAATCAAATTAAAAAAATATTTTTATAATTAATTTTAAAAATTGTACATCTCCTTCTATAACTCCACTATTCCCTTCTTTTCTTTCTTCCTCTACTCCTACAATTTTTTTTCTAAAACGACATCATGTTGTTCATTATAACAAAATATGAAACACTAAACATGTATATATTACAAAAGTCAAAAGCTAAATCCAAACCCCAAACAACAAATTAATTCAATCAAACAAGATATATTCAACCAATTTAAGTCAACTAAGTAATCAATAAGACCAACAAGGGTGGCATCGAGGTAACCCTAACTAGCAAAGACGGTGAGAGAGTAAATGAAAGTGCAACAAAGAGACTGAAGACGGAACTAGATAACGGCAAAACAATGAATAAAGGGATAACACTAGAAAGAGAGTGAAACATGAAAGACATCATTTTAATTGTCTTTCTAAATCAATTGTTATACAATTTATTTAGAAAAGTCTCAATTTAGAAAGGCTTATTTAAAATCTATTATTTAAATAACCAACTTTAAAAATGGTCTTTTTATTATACAATTGATTTACCGATTTAAAAAGATGCTCTTGAATTTTTTAAAATCGATTATATAATAATCGATGTTTTAAAAGTATCGTTTATTTTTAACACCTGGAATTTAAAATTGGTTAGAGGGTTTTGAAAGTATTTTTGTTTTTTTTATAAATATTATAACATTTGGTTTAGAATTGTTTATATTTTTAACATGTTTATATTTTTTATTTCAATATATATATTTATAAAAAAAAAACATCCTTAATATATGCACGAAATGTTTGAATTTAGTAAGAATAATTTTTATATATTATGAGTTATGATAAATTGAAATTTTTTACATTTGTGTACAAATTATAAGGAGTAAATTGAATAAATTTTTTTTATAAAATCTCTTTCAATTTCAATAAATAAATTATTATTATATTTTTTTCAAAGTTATTTTGATTTCTACAATATGATTAGAAAACATTTAGACCAATATTTTACAACAAAAAAATAATAAATTAACTACTTAAATCATTTATTTGTTAAAATCACATCACTTGATTCCAGTAAAGTCTCCTCCAATATACTGATGACACAATCTTCATGGGAGAACCCTCAGTGGAAAATGTGATATCAATAAAGTGTATGATGAGATGTTTTGAATTAATCTCAGGGCTCAAGGTGAACTTCTATAAAAGCAGACTTGGAGCAGTAGGAGTGGACAGGCACACATTGGAGAGGTATGCTGATCTGCTGAACTGTAAACTTATGACCATTCCTTTCACCTACCTTGGCCTGCCAATAGGGGCGACTGCAAGGAAAGCTTCCACATGGCACCCAGTGTTAGTAAAATTAAGGAACAAACTTGCAACATGGAAGAACAAATCAATCTCTCTAGCTGGAAGAATTTCATTGATAAACTCTGTCTTGTCATCCATCCCTTTGTACTTTATGTCTTTCTACAGATTACCAACTATAGTACTTAAGGAGATAGTGAGCATCCAAAGAAATTTCCTGTGGGGTAGGGATGAAAATGTGAAGAAAATATGTTGGGTTAGGTGGGATAAAGTCACAATGCCAAAGAGTATGGGAGGTTTGGGTATTAAGGACTTACGGAGTTTCAACACAGCACTCCTAGCTAAGTGGAGATGGAACCTTTTTAACCATGCAGATAGTCTTTGGGGAAAGGTATTGACCTCAAAATATGGTGGATACTCTAGCCTAGCTGATGTGGATGATGGAAGACAAGCAAGATTCTATTCAGAATGGTGGACAGACTTGAAAAAGACCTGTGGTGGACAAGACCAGCAACAATGGTTTGATAAATTAGTGAGGTGAAAAATAGGTGATGGTAGAAAGATAAGGTTCTGGCAAGACACATGGCTGGGAGGTGAAAGCTTAATAAATGCATTCCCTCGGATCTATATCAACTCTAACCAAAAACATAATAAATTGGCAAACATGGGCAACTGGGTAGAAAATGAGTGGAAGTGGCAGTTCTATTGGAGGAGGACGTGGCTTCAAAGAGACCAAATACAGTGGTCTACCTTCCAGCAGCTACTATCACAAGTAAACCTAGTAAAACAAGATCAAGACAAGTGGGTGTGGTTGGCAGATAGCACAGGGGATTTCTCAGTTCATTCTGCATATACTGCCTTTCATAATTTACAACATATTGGCCAAACTAATAGCGTATGTGGAGGGCTTTGGCAACTGGGAATACCACCAACAGCAGCAGTTCTAATGTGGAGATTGGTTCAAAACGCCCTACCAATAGTAGAAAATTTGCAGTCAAGAGGTGTTATATTAAGCGACTCCCAAGGGCGTTGTGCTTTTTGTAATGAAGTACAAGAAACTTCCTCTCACTTGTTCTTCTGTTGTCGGATTACCAATAAAGTATGGCACCATTGTTGGTCTTGGATCTCAATATCAACTGTTCTCCCTCAATCAACGCTTGAAAATGTATGTCAGTACCCATATCTCTGTCTTACCCAGCGTGAAAGGTCGAAGTGGGATATTATAAGGAGTGCTGTAATATGGTGCATATGGCGTTGTAGGAACAACAAAATCTTCAGAGGGGAAAATGTAGACGTGGAGAGGTTGAAAAATAACATTGATCACATGGTCTGGTCATGGCTAAAGATCAACAACGAACTATTCTGCTATAGTTTTGATCAATGGATGGCTAGCCCAGCTGCATGTCTTAAGGCTTGAATTGGCTTCTTGTAAGGCTCGGTTTTAGTTGGCAATATCACATGATAGCGGTGATCATATATAAGCATTTATTTATGTATTATTGTGTATTTTTGTATTACATTCTACTCGTGTATGAGTTTTTGGTACCCCTGATACCTTTATAATATATATCTATCTTTGCTGATAAAAAAAAAAAAAACTTAGTATAAAATTAAATAATAAAATGAAAGAGAATTTTTTTTTTTTTACATTTTATGTCATTTTTATCAATTTAAAAAATTAATTGTACTAAAATATCTCGATTTATATGAATATTGTAGTAACTCCCTTAATATATATATATATATATATATATATATATATATATATATTCTAACACAAAATAATGTATAGAGTTAATATATATTTTTAATACATAATTAAGGAGATTATGAATTTTTTATTTATATGATTTAACATTAAAACTAATAATACAATTATATACTATGATTCAAAATAATTGATGGTAATAATATATATTTAAATACATAAATTTAAATATTTAACCATATTTTACTTATTTTTCAGCTAGTTGTCAGTTGGTTGCATTGAATTAGTCTATAGTAAAATCTTAAGACACTGGTGCGAATTAAAAATATATAAATATTAAATTATAGTAATTAAGAAAATTACAAATAATATAATTTTTATAATTTGAAAATTGAAAGTATATTATAAGTGTATATTTTCATTTAAATTAATTGTTAGTTTAGTATTTTGCCACGTAAAAAGATGTCACGTACATCACCATATGAACCTTTTCGATCTACATTTCATCTGCTTTCAGGGCAAAACTTCGTTATGACCGGATTTTATTTATAATTATTATATGTCAATAAATAATCATATAGATAATAGGTATTTTTCGTCACGTAAATAATGTTAAATAATAAAATGGGATAAGATATTTAAAATATTATTTATTATTATGATAATATCATCCAACTTAGGGCATTGTAGGGTGTCTAACACCTTCCCTATACATAACTGACTCTCGAATCCAATTCTGGTTATGAAGGTCTTTATTCTAATTTCAAAATCTTTTCTTTTTCTGATATTTTGAGTAAAATATCAGTAGCGAGCGCGACTCCTTCGACCATTTTTCAAAACCTGTTGGTTAGGGATTAGTCTGGTCTCCGGGCATTCCCTAACCGGTGAGATTTTCAAAACGAAAGTCCAAACCATCTATGAATAAGATCAAAATCTTTTGGGTTCCGACACGTTTTTCCCCATTTTTTGTTTGTCTTTGAAGCATTGGAGTCCAAGGGTGAAGATAGAAGCATCAATAAAGCTTGTTGAGCAGAAATCTCCAACATCTTCTCACTAGTTTCATCATATTATCTATTATTAAAGTTTTTAAATTATTAAAATTTAACAAATATTTTTTTTCAAAAAAATAATATTAAAATATCAAATTTATAAACATATATTAAAAATATATTTTGAAAATTCTACTCATTTATAAAAATCATAAATTTGAACATATTGTTCAAATTCAATAGCATGAATGAGAAAATATAAATGCATAGAGAGTTGTATATAAGGAAATGTTACTTAGAAGAACATGAAACCAGAATCAATTGTTTATTAAGAGATTGAAAACATTTATTGATTTTATTCTTCTTTATTCAAAACTTATCATTTTTGTTATTTTTTAGTAATTGTATTTTTAAAAAATTTATATTTTATTTTGAAATCTCATAAAATCCTTTCAAATCCTATAAATTCTTAAGATATAAATTAATTAAATTCATATTACAAAATCTTGATAATAAAAGTCTCTTAAATTTTTTTAAAATTCATTATATTCCTACAAAGTCTTTTTAAAAAATCTTAAAAGTGATCAATTCTTATAAATCTTGTAAAAATCCACAAAAAATCTTGTGCTAAAATAGTCTTATTAAATTCTAATTCAATACACCTTTTATAAATTGCAGCCATGTGATTAACAATTTGAATTGAATTTAAATGACACTATGTGTGCGACTTTTGACGGTCACATGTATATTCTACTTCAATACAATTGTTAATACTTGGCCCAAAAATAAGTTGCACTTCCTAAGCTCAAAATTACACATCAAAGAAAATTGCATGAAAAATTTTCACTTTATTTACTCTAAAAATACAAGGCCAAAAAGTTAAGAAATACACAAATACACAAAGGACATTGAGCTTATATATTTAGTAATCTATAATTCAAGATAATTTTAGGCCTACTAACCTTATTATGTACCTAATCTTCTTGGATCCTACTAATGGGTCCATTGATCGGCTCTTCCATCAAAAAAATTTTAAAGTTCTTTATTTATGTGAAAATTAAAATCTTAAATTTTTAATCAATTAAAAGTCTTAAAATTTTAAATGTCTTAAAATTTTAAATGCCGCTTAATAAAATATCCAAACACAATATTTTGTCAAAAATAAATAAATTCTTACTTAAATTACTTTTTTCATTTAAAATCTCTTATCCAAACACACGAAATTTTAAATATAGAAATTTTATCCAAATATTTTCACCGAAGTATATGATTTAACCAAAGCAAAGAAGAAAAAGAAAAACAAAGAAAGAAACATAAATGGATTAATAATACTCACGTGATTTTGCATGAGTCATGACTTAAAATATAGCATCATGCTTTTCAGACCAACTTTGTAATTTAGCTTTGCTTCATCCGATTTTCTTCGTTCACAAAATCCTCATTCTTCACCTTCTCACGAAACGTGATTCCTCCTTCGTTAATCTAAAACCATATATAACGAGTCACTAGATTTGCGACAGCAGGGTCACCGAGGGGGCTACGGTGGACGAGGACGGGGCAGAGGTCGTGGTTCGGGAGCTCGCACAGACCAACCCTCGGGCTCCCAACAAAATGCCAACAGCGCAGTACAAGCCGAGATAAGTCAGGAAACAGGGTCAGCTCCCTTACGGGGAGTAATCAACACAACTGCAGGTGGTTTCGTTGGGGGAGGCGCCAGCAGCTCGGCCCAGAGGAGACACCTGCGGAACATCAATTGCGTCCACTCTACCACCTCGACTTCGTACCAGAGCTCACCGCCGATCTCTTTCTCTGACGAGGACTACACAGGCGTCAACCCTAACCAAGATGATCCCATGGTCATCGTCGTAGAAGTAGCCAACTAGGAGGTGCAGAAGACACTCATTGACCAAGGTTGCCCATTATGCCTACAAACACAGCATACCGAAGCACATCAGAAAAAGGATTTTCACAAACCCTAATAATCTAAAAAGAGGGCGAAATACTCACTCTCCAGGCCCCTCTCCCTGTATGCTGAGTTCGCAAGCGACAGAACGAGCTTGCAATCCAGCGGACGAGGAAGCGCTACGAGATTCTCAATGGATGGCTAGCCCAGCTGCATGTCTTAAGGCTTGAATTGGCTTCTTGTAAGGCTCGGTTTTAGTTGGCAATATCACATGATAGCGGTGATCATATATAAGCATTTATTTATGTATTATTGTGTATTTTTGTATTACATTCTACTCGTGTATGAGTTTTTGGTACCCCTGATACCTTTATAATATATATCTATCTTTGCTGATAAAAAAAAAAAAAACTTAGTATAAAATTAAATAATAAAATGAAAGAGAATTTTTTTTTTTTTACATTTTATGTCATTTTTATCAATTTAAAAAATTAATTGTACTAAAATATCTCGATTTATATGAATATTGTAGTAACTCCCTTAATTTTAATGCCTGAATTTAAAATTGGTCCAATTTTAAAAGGTTACAACCGACTCATTCTACGAAAGTTGTAAGAGATACGGTCCGATACATTGAATTCTCAATAATGTATAAAATAAAATAAAAAATTAGCTGTTGAAAGAAACTGTGAATTTAATTAAAACACCCTAAATTATAGTTATAATTGTTAATAATAATAAAAAATAACCAAAAGATTACCATATTTATGTAATTTTGTACATGTATTTTTCACTATTTTGATCATTATTTTTTACCAATTAAATTTTATTTAAATATCATATTTTACATATTATATCGGTAATTAACAAAAACAGGTATATTTCAAAGACAAAAAGATATTTAAATTATATTAGAAAAAATATATTTAAACCTATGATGAATTACAATTTAAAGATTCAAATTAATAATACAAATATATAAATATAAATATAAATATATATATATATATATGACATCCA